TTTGAGGCCAGTGACTTCTAGTTCTAACACTTGCTACTTGGGTTTCATTTTTTTATTATAAGATAGGGATGCAGATAGATGACAAATTTAACTTTTGTTTTATTTTGATATTCACACTTGCCCAGATTTGGTTAGTGGAGCAGGTTAGTTAGGGGGGCATTTCTATGTCTTTTTTTTACATTTCCATCATATTCTGAGCATTTCTGTACTTCATTAGATGTTTAAGGATCCTCTCATACATTGCCTGCCACAGTATGCAGTGAAAACATAAAACCCAAGCACATATTTCTTATTTTAAATCATGTAGTATTCCCCTTGGTTTGTGTGAATTACTGATTCTTTTGTTTATTATAAGGTTCCACATGAGCACAATTAAGTGTCCTGGATTTCCCATTGTTCTCAATGTTATCCATAACCCATCATGACCCACACAGGATTTTAAGCCTTTGCATAACCAATAAAACACAAGCAAACATTCTTCTGATATTCTCTCCATTTAGTCTGCCTTCTGTAATTATTTAATATTTATATTATTGTTGCTATGTTTGGAAGCAGGAGTGGCATCCACTTCCTAAATAACATGCCTCTGGAAACTCTATGAACTTGGATAAATGTCAATAGTTGTAGAGGGGCTTCAGGCCTTTTGTTCATAGGGTCGCTATGAATTGTGCTGGACTCGAAGGCAATCAACAACAATAACATTGTTGTTATGTACTGTCAAGTCAGAACTGACTTATAGTTGACCCTTCAGTGGCTTTTCAGAGGCACAAAATCATACAGGAGATTCCCCATCTTTCTCCCATAGAGTAGCTGGTGAATTCAAAGTACATGACTTGAGGATGAGGCCAAACCTTAATGTATTAGTTCAGGGTCCTTCTCTTAACCTAATTTGTGATTAATTGCTATATACATGCTTTCTCCCTTCTTGCCAAGAATTATAGCTCTCAAATATTAGATCCATTTTTCTATAGCATATTATCTATCATCTAACATCAGCAATAGCAAGCTCTAGTGACGCAGAACACAAGAAGTTGTGCTGCTAATTTAAAGGCCTGCATGCCTCTCCGGTGGTTTAAATCCACCAGTAGCTCCATTAGAAAAGCAACATAATCTCCTCCTGTTTAGTTCACAGTCTCAGAAATCTGCTAGAGAAAAAGCAATGAACTGGTTCTGATTTCATGGTAATGAGTGAGATGAAACTTGTGAAAACGGAAACTTATTTCAGATGGTCTTATTTTTCTGGGTATCACAAGTTTTCCACCTCTGACAAGGTGGAAATATTTTCGTTTTCCCTCCGTGAAAAGTTTCTGCCTTGCACAAGTTGCAGTTTTTAATGTATACTTTGGGTATGTGGTCAGGAGGGACTAATCAGAGAAGGACACCATGCCTATAAAGGTAGATGGAAAGCTCAGGAGAGGAAGACCCCGGATGAGATAGATGGACAGATTAACTGGGGTGATGGGGTAAGTGTATCAGAATCAGTGAGACAGGCTCAGCATAGGACAGAGTTCAGAGCTACTGTACATAGGGTCACTATGAATCATAGGCAACTCTTATAAGGCATATAACAAGCACAACAACAACATACAGTAAAGGCTTTAAACAAAAAAAATGAGCCTTACTTAAATCAAATACTGATTAGGGTTAGTAACAGATAGGATACTTCAAAAAATTATAATTTGTTATTTTTATTATTTTTCTGAAAAATGGGAATCAGGCTATAGATTTAAAACAAAAACAGACCTTCAGATTATGCTAAATAAAATGGATATGAACATAAGGGAATCATATATAAAACAAAACAAAAAATCCATCAATCAAATGGCATTTCCTTAGAAGCTTTGAAAAATAAAATTGAGCTTTTTATTTTATACAGGAATTGCATTTAGTATATATCACAGGTTGTTGTTGTTGTTGTTGTTGTT